CTTTCTAGCAATACGACACATACTGTGTTTTGCTCATATTATTCTGACCCGGATTTCTAAAGAAGTTGATCAATTCTCTAGGAGTTTTCTGCATTCAAGCATTTTATAAATCAGAGCTAGGCATTCACAGAGTGGGTTCTCTATAGTTTCGACAGAAATTGGTAGTGACACATAGTCTTGATACGCAACATATGGAAACCTGTAATCAAAAGGAAAACGGTCAACTCTTGCCAAACCGGTGAAGCGGAGAGAGGAAAGAGGAAATGGATGAAAGCGCTCGAATCACCTATACTAAAACTCGAAATGTTGTGTAGTAACTTGGTTTGAACGCTTTTTTTTTGTTTATTCATTTTTTTAATTTTTTTGCTCATTTGTATTTTTTGTTTTTTTTTCATTTCTTTTCACTCTGTGGTCATTTTCATTTTTTATCCAGATTATTTTATTGTATTCGTCTTATTGTATATTCATTTCACATTTTATTGCTTATATATAATTGAAATTTCAGCTATTTATTCTGTTCTATCATATATTTCGAACCATATTAGACAATGGAAGTCCGAACTAGTAAAATTCACCATGAAACATCGTCAATCACTTTCAAACAAATGAAAAAGATGTAATTGTCCATTGGCTTTCAAAAGTGCTACCATTATATGGTCCAAAAATATGAATCACTTTATCCAAGATAGTCTTACACGATTTATATCGGGATATTGGGAAAACATTTATTTTCAGATAATAATTTTTTTCAAGGTTAACTGAATATGAATTTGAGGAGTGTGCCAAAAATATATTTCAAGGTTAAAATACACTATGACGTGAAAACAATGATGTAAGAAAATGTATCAAAAAAATCCACCTTTTCAGAACGTCTATTGACTACGTTCAACTTCAATCTTTTCCGAAAAATTGTCACTGAAAACAGTTTCAGAACGTTCAAGCTGAGAACTTTACTGAGTATTCAAAATTAAAATCTCATCTTGGCCATACATTAACTAAGCTTTTCTAGAGTATTGAAAATTTCCAAAACAAGCAATTCTCTCAAATACCAGAACTGCAACACTCTACTCGACGCGAGTTCCACCAACCAGGAGACGTCTACTGTTGGACGCCAACTTGATTGGTGAAATACACGTCGGGAAGAGTGTTGCAGTTCTGGTGTTTGAGAGGAGTCCTTATTTTGGATTTATTCTACGCCAGAAGTATATTCAAAAATTTATTTCAATCCACAAATTTATTTTTTTTACTGTTTCTTCATTCTGGAATCTTGATAACGATATGAAGTAGAAGTTACATTTTGAAAAATGTAGACATTTCTAGTGAAATACATGAACGATAAGGACAATAGACTAACTAATATTTGGCGGTAATTCCGAAAGTGATTCTTTCCTATTTCTCCGTATATGTCACCCGCCTATTGATAATGAATGCGAATACTTCAGTTTCACTTTATGTATGTCAAATCGTATGTAACTTATCCTGATACATCTCATTGCAACTTTATGCGATTTTGAACACCTCGAATTTGTTTACTATTAATTCGTATGACTTTAATGAATCAACTTTCACAAATCAATGATATTCCTTGAAGAAATAACCTACATAAATATATTGAATCATAAACTGTGAATAATTTTCTGAATTTGAGGAGAGATGTTATCGTAAAAGGTAAAAGGGAAGCGTCAATTTTGTTGGATTTTGAAATATGCAAAGATGCAACTTACGTCAATTATTTTCCCCAGGTGAAACTTCAATTTTTTCAACATTAGTTCCTTTTTCTAAACTTTTTATCATTGATCGTCAGATGAATAAGGAATCGCATAAAATTCAAATCAGACATAAAAAATATGTGTCCATTTATTTTTTAGAAATTAGTAAAACACCTGCAAAGGAACCGCTTGGCTATAGAAAACAACAACCAGTAACCTTCAATTGACGCATTCCATTGTATTACAATAGATACATTGTGGTAAAAACTTTTAGGGTAGGTAAGCACTTCAAGACCAGGTTCGGATGTTCAACAAAACCTTTGTTTTCAGTTGAATTTTTTGAACCATTGGTCACCTCTGAAATACATGGAATACAGTTACAAAAAAATACTACTCCCAAAACTACATTTCTGTTTGCACGAATTTTAATAGGCAATATTGCTTCAACATTCTCTTTACCAGGTAAAAAAATGTTACTTCTTTTGATTTAATTGTAATTTCTCCTAATTGAATTCGAGTCCCTTTATTTTTTCTAAGTGACAGTCTATAACATACATAAATAATTATAAGGGGATCTAGCAAGCACTGGACATTGAAACTGCCATCTCCTGGTGCTTGCATGGCGATATGGTCCCAAAGCTAGCTACAACTTCCTAGGTAGGTCCTCCATTCCCAAAAGAACACCAACTCCACCGCTTCACCACACCCTTCAATGAACAGACACTTCAGTAGCCTGAATCTCGGAAGGGAGAAAAAGAAGCGGTAAAAACTCAAATCCTTTATTGCCACACTATGTACATAATTCTTAGTTTGCCGTGATAACAATCTCTTACTTAATAACCATTTATCTATATCTGGCTTGCCGGATCGGTGGATCACCAGCCCAGCCACTTTTCTCTAATCAATCGTCTTTCGTCACACATTCCACCCATTTGTAGACGATGGCAATCCATTTATTATCTGGCCTATTCACCCCTCTTCTCTCCATCTATTTCACCTCTACACATTTATTTCAAGTGCACGTTCTCCAGAACCTGGCCAGATATCCATAGAAATTGCCATCTCGTAGAGTCAGAATGAACGGCCTTTCGTGTTAGAGCAATCTTTTCATACCTGACTGTTCCACATTATATTTGGAAGAGCCTCCCAGTTACTCCCTGCCCATTCTCTTGCCATTTATCATTAATTCTTCTTTTGATTCTCTTCCATTCCATTTCTTTCACGTTCTCTTGTGTCCTCTGTTTGAACCAGATATGTCCTTCCTATTCTCATTTCTCTATCATCCTACCGTTGCCAAAATTTCTTCAAGAGCAAAAGGCGGCTGATTAGCACCCTATTCTCCTTGGTGCTCATTTCTAATTCTTGCCCTACCAACTGTCTTGCTCTGGGGAAGTAGGTACTCATTCAGCTGATACTTGCTGCTTCCTTCTCGGTGTAGATCTTATCATCCTTTGGAACCCTATTATTCCTTCCACTGGTTTTCTCAAGCATGAGGAATCGGTAGACAAAAGTCTCACAGATTTTGCGTTTCCCACCGTTTCATCTTCTATGTGTACCACAAATGCTCAAACTTCTCTGTGACATACTAAACCGTTCACTTTGTACAGGAAAATATCCTGGCAATTTGAAATTTAGAATTCAATCCTATTGTGCAAGAAGGGCAATGGTAGAAAACAACTGTAAAATCAGTTTGCTGTCGGCCTTTTCGAATTTAAAAAAAAACTCCTTTGTTACGTCAAATACTTCTGCAACTCCCATAAAGCATATGATTGTTTGAAACGCAATTCACTTTTAACAAAATTATCCTTTTATGAAGCATGTGGAAACGCAATTGACATGAATTTAGTCAAATATTTCAAACTGAAGCCAACAAGTGATGTTTAAAAACAACACGGATGTTCTTGAAGATGGTATCTTGGGCCTTCTGCTTTTCATTATTTTCCTTAACGACCTTTCCATCTTTGTAAATAATACTAACATCCACTTAATAAATTATGCAGATGATACCAATCTACTTATATCAGGAACAAAGGTTCATAAAATGATATCAATCTAAGAAACATATATTATTGTTGTAAATCAACCACTGGGAAAAAATAACGCCAGCCACCGCTGGTCGTCGTCAATCGATTGTGACTTAGCCAATGTCGCACTCAACTCGACTTGCGCAATCATTCTAGATGTCGCGTCGCTTCGAGAGACTTCCAGCGACTTCCAGAGACTTCCATTACCATATATAAACACTACCAACACGCAGATCGTGGAAGTTTAATTAAAAGTGTGGCACGAAGTGTTCTAATAAGGCGATAGACATTTGAGAATCATTCCAAGGTTTCAGTTACAGTATTTGTGTTGTATTTTCAATGTAGCAGCGAAATAAAGTTGAGTTTAAATGTATAGTGTAGTCAATTATTGTTAAATACGGAGAATACGTAACATTACGAATATTTAGAAGTGGTACAGAAACAAAGGTCTAATCCTAAACGTAAGCAAAACTCAAAGTGTAGTTTCCAAAACAAATAAAAATCTGACTTTCGTTCCCAAAGATGTCACTCTTGGAGACATGGAAGTGGGAAATATCACGGAACTCAGAAACCCTTGACAACTGCACCATATTCGGAAACTTGATATCAATCAGATCGAACTCCATTTTTGAGTTAGCTCCAAATTAATACACTTTATTCCCTCTTCTTCTCATATTATACTGGTTTTGATTTTATGCTTAGAAGAGTAATCTCAAAGTTAAAGATTGAATAACTTTGGTAAAAAACCTTCATTACTCCTGATGTGTCATAAATAATCCAATGAACTTTGTACACCATGGGATATGCGTTGCATTCTTTTTATTCAAAGGAAGGAATAGCATATATTTATATTATTATAGGTAAATTTATGACTTTTACTTCATACATGATATTGAAGAGGAGGATTAAAGATATGTTTCAGAGCAATGAAGCACCACTTGCAAAGCACCCAAAGTCTAATACAAAATGAGAATTTTAATAAAAGACTGCCTTAAAGTTAATAGGTTAAAAGCTTCTACTACACATTCTGAACTAACTACTAAACAGAAAAATTACCCCTCTGAATTATCGAAAGGATTTTACGTTTCCCATAGAATAATTTGAGGGGTTTACCAAAGTTTAAATTTCAATGATAACATTTTTAATACATAAACCCCCAAAAGTCCAAAGCTGTAGTAAGCAAAATTGTGCAGTTTCACGAGAGTGAAAATATTAGTTGTTAGTTGTAGGCAGGCAAGCTATAAGTACATGTGTGTAACCAGCTCACCCCAATGAGGAGGCAGCGTCCTCAAACAGCTTACGGAGTTGCTGTATGTCGCCGGGAAAAAGTGGAGGTCGCCACCTTCTGTGCGCACTAATAAAAGTTTTGCAAATTTGTCATTAAAGTAAACAGGCATAAAATAAAACAGTCGTGAGAGATCAAAATTGATATAGCATTTACCCTCCTACTGTGCAGTACTTCATAAATGATTAAAAAATATAAGTCACTGAAACATAAGTCACTAGATAAACATCCCATCAAAAAGTTTATTCAATAAAAAAAATCTATCTAAACATGGTTTACGAATATTTTGAATTATTCTTGAGATAAATCTAAAGAAATAAACTTTAAACGTTCAAGCCAGTCTCGGATATATCTACAGAGTAGGTTGAATGTACTGACGCCTATCAGAAAACAACTACTCCCCTGGCTAATACCACGAAGGGCGTTGGATTATATTCGACAGGTATCAGTGCAGGAATCTTCACAGAAAATTTCCTGCATATGCAATTGGCAATACAACTGAAAGAGTCGACCTTCAATTTTGGAACGGGCACACTTGCAGACCGTTTTCGGGCTCATTAGCCACTCGTCAGTGTAAAATAGTGGCCATCATCGACCTAAAGTCAATGATATTTCATGATTGAAAATCGGAATTCTTTCATAGTATTTCATTCCTCTTCCTGAGTTGGAGCGAACAACTAAATGTCACTCCATCTAGTGTACGAGGTAATAACTTTAGACGAGGTACTAGGTTTAGATTTGTTTACTGCCAATCTTCAAGCATAGCCCACTGACTAATAAGAAAATATTCTTGACATGACACTTTTTCTTTGAAATCTTATGATTTTCAAGAGAGAATATGAACAAGGACAGTAACTACTCTCAAAACCGTCTTATTTCATACTTCTCAAGTTTACCATTTACAACTAAAATATATAAAGAGAAAAAAGCTCAGACTATGTGCAATTTGTCACCAGGGTAGACTCAACACCAATAAGGTTGTTATAGAAGCTTACACCGGATGGAAGGCAAATTGTTGGTGTCACAAATAAAGCTCTAAGAATGAAAATCTGAGATTGATTTGAAGTAGACTACAAATTGCTGTATTTTCTATAAGGAACTTGAAACTTGTTAACTGCTTTCAAAAAAGGAGAAGGTTCTCAATTCTTCTGAAATCATTTTCATGTATATTCAGCAAAAATCCTAACAAAGGTGGACCGTTTTTGATAATCATTGTTTGTACTTGAAAGTTGATTATTGTGGTGTATTACTATTTAAATTTGAGTGAAGTTCTGAAATATTAGTATGCACTAACAAGTTTTTGTTTTCCAGTAACTCCGTTACTGTTCACAAAAATAAAAATATGATAAAGAATATTTTGGAGGACCAAGAAGAGGAGAAATTTAGATTTCGTGAAAGAAAGTTATTGGCTTTCTACTTCTCCATCTTGATACAAAAAATCTAGGAATCTTCCAAAGAAAGGAAGAAAGCAATCAATAAAAAAAATACTATACAAAGATGACATGAGTGGATTCAACCCATTCCGCGACAAAAAGTCGTAGTTATGAACGAACAGAGTGTTTTTTCTTATGTTATCTGTATTGGCTACTGAAGAGCCGATAAGGCAAGTGTCTTACGACGAAACATCGGATATCTAGTAGTGAGGATTATATTATTCCACGTGAGTGAAATTTTACTTTTTTCATTAATTATATTGTGTAGAAATCCTGTGAATGATATATGATTCCATTACGAATGTTTGGAATACAAACGGATTAGAGAAAAGTGTTTTTCTTATAATTAAGCGTGCATATAAAAGTATTTGTTTCGAAAGTATTTTTCTTTCGTATAATTCAATGTTCATATGAAAATAGCTGTTTCGAGAGGACTTTTCCTTCCACTTTGTGTCTGAAAGTTACTTCTTTGCATGATCTACACATCTTTGTATAGAGGTCATTTTTTTTCAAATTGAATTCTTTCTTCCTTTCTTTGGAAGATTCCCACATTGTTTGTATCAAGATGGAGAAGTATAAGGCCAAAAACTTTCTTTCCCAAAAATTAGTCTCTTCTAAAAATATACCATTCAAATTTAAACCAGATGTCGTAATTCGAACATCAAACTTCAGAAAAACATTGATTATTATCTCAAGAATATTTTGTGTAGTCTCCAAACATGGTGAATTAAACTTAGAAGTGGTAAATCTATCGGCAAATTTATGAGTTTTGTGTGTTTGTGTGCACTTTGAAAGAATTAATTTCACTCTTCTTCCGTTGATGACATTTTTTGTACAGGTTAAAATCAATATCCAACCTATTTATTCATTTTCCTTAATTTTTTAATGATGCTAGCAGAATTTTGCGCCAATAAATTGAATATATTCCTGGAACATAAAGTAATACATGTATGTCATCAGTTACCAGATACTCAACACCGCTCCCGTTTTAAACATAATACTTCTTAATAACTCCTCTATTGTTCAATTCCCAAGTTGAGAGTCTGGTATAAAATGAATTGAATATTATATACTGAAAAATATGTTTCAAATTATGTAGTTCTCAATAAATTGTCAATAATCTCATAGCATCCCTAATTCATCTCAACAACAAAAAATCAATCATAAAAAAATTCTCATGAAAAGTTTTTAAACATCCTAAAATGAATAATAGTAAACACAATTTTTTTTACATTCGAATCTAGAATTCATCATGTTCAAATATTTCGTACCATTACCTGATTTTTTCAGTGAATTTCAGTAGGAATTAAGTAGTTTTTATCCCAATGACTTTTTGTTTTATCCTTCTCAGATTTTCATTTTAGATAAAATAAAATTATACAGCATATTCTTACCTTCTCAGTGCTTGTGGTGAGGTGTCGCCTCCATCACTGAAATCACTGTCAATATGCATCCTTCCTCCTTCGGTAGCCTTAAGGTAGGATTCCCGTCGCATTGCTCTTTCATCGTCAGCTAAAATAAATAATTTACATATAATCGAATCACTATAACTGACTTCAAAATAATAAATAAATTTTCGTTATGATATTTTCATAATATGGAACTCGAAATTTTTTCTTAGTAAGATAATTTGATGATTTGTGTTTTTTGCAAATATAGTAATCTGTTATACAAATATTTCTTCAAATTCCTCCAGTAAAAAATGAACTTTTGAGCAAATGAATAACTAGAGTAGATTAATTTATTGGAAACATATAAATCTCATATTAGTATAAACGAATGGATTCAAATATAATCTATTAAGAGATTTCTATGGTTGAATAGAAACTATTGCAATTTTTTTCTTTATATCAGAAGAACTCTAAAAATCTGTAAAATCGAGTTATATTTGTGTTACTTCCTTCAGATATGCCTTAGTAGGTTGAAATTTTGTGAAAGTAGCAACAGTTGTGATAAATAACATAGCCCTGAAAACTACTCCATATAATTTCAGTTTTATATACAATTTTTGATATCTTTATTCAGTGCACTGAATGCTTTTCTGTATCAGTAGCTGCTTTTCAGCAGAAGGCGTTAGTGCCTCACATGAAGATAAAAGTCTTCTTAAAGAATGCCAAAGAGTGCCAAAAGAATAAATGTCTCTAAGTGCACTCAGTGCCACCAACAGAACCTTCGAGATATCGGGCACCTTCGCGTCATATAAAGGCTTGTAACTGTTAAGGGAGCTCTGCCATTCAGGACCGCCTTTACCTAGCTGCTAAAAGTATGAATCTCTAAGTGCACTCAATGCCACTAATAGAACCTACGAGATATCGGGCACCTTCGCGTCATATAAAGGCTTGTCACTGTAATGTGGGGCTCTATCGTAATGACCATTTATGTACCATGAAGTAACTAAAGTATTCGACTCTAAGGAGATGGAAGTCGACTAAAGACCCACAACTGTCCTTCTCTTGTAACATTGGATTAAGAGCGAGAGCGGTTCGGTTGTTCAACTCTTGATCTTGTTAGCAAACCAAGGAGGCCAAGTGGTGCAGCTAGGAAGCGACTTAACGTCCTCTCAAGAGCAGGATATCTTATGAATCTGCCGTGCACCAACTTCTTGAGCACCAGAATCAAATCTGTATCGGATGAGGGAACGAACTTTCCCTCAGTTGGTCAGCAAACATGCTCAAAAGTTGATTCACCAAAACCAGAGACGAAAAAGTCCTGCTTGGCTGAATCTAATGTCTTGTTAGGTATAACAGATGCCCTCATTCGGATAGGTTGCTGCGAGCATTAAGGTGGGAGTCTTTCATCTTAAACTTTCAACAACCTCAGTTTCGACCAATTACCTGTAATCTCTTTAGTGTGCCATAATGGCTCCCATAAAGTATATTCTAGAAGATGTTCCACAGGTATATGACAAAGGAAATTGCAGACTCACCGCCGACAGGTCCTTTCTATATTGATGTAAACATACCATGGTCTGTCAACCTTAGAGTGAATCATTCATCACAAGAAAATTCAGGCCTTGCTAGCAGAGCACATACTCTGTGCCTGGTTCGGCATGAACTGGATACGTTTTTTAGCATTTGGCAGAGTCATACTCTTGCCAGATGATCTGAAAGATCGCTCACCATATAAATTATTCAGCTTCGTAAAAAGAGCTGTATATATTCAATTGAGTTTCAATAGATATAAGCCTTTTGAATTGCAGTGGGGAATACAACAGACTTCTTGATCACTTTAGACCTACCTTGCTATCTGCCTAACAATTTGAGGGATGTATTTTGAAAGAGCTGCACTATAAAAAGTGTTTTGATCCTTAGCTCGTACTTATCGCCTGAAGACTCCTGAAGGTGGCAACTGGCTGTCGGTATAAACGATCTTTAACGTTCAATCATTGAATCATTGAGAATCATTGAGAGCCTAGCTTAAATGGTTTGCTAATCTTTCATTTGATGAAGTGTACCAAAAAATCTAATCATGCTAATTTTTAGAAAACGATCCTGTATAATTTTTCCCAAATATAGATTACTATTTTCTACAAATTGATATTCTCATTCAGAAATGGTAGAGCAATCAGTAGTAAAACACTCGGAACTATCTTGACATTTAATTACATATTATATTATTACTTGAAAATGTATTGGTTATTAGATGGTCAATATCAGAAGTAATATGAGCAGAATATAATTTTAAAGTGGTGAAGAGCAAGAAAGTAAAAGTGCATACAAATACTTACCGATGTTAGTATTTTTAGGTCTCCTTTTTACTACAACTGGTTTATCCTCCACTGAAAAATTGAAAGCAGTAAATCAGTTATTTGTAAGAATAGCTATCTCACTGAGTATTTTTGAAGTAGGTTTTCGTTAATTAGCTGTCATCCCCATATGAATGACAACTCTAGAAAGTCAAAGTGCGAGCTAGGGATCTTACTTTTCAACGTGCGATTCCTAGAACGCATCATGTGCATTACAATAGCAGTTGGTTCAATGAGTTGGACTAAGCACTCACTCTATCCAACCATTCACCGTCTGACATGATTGTCAACTTATGGAAAATATATTACTTATTATTTTTATAGCAATACAAATATTGCATTACTTCAATAACATTTTCATATTACTAATTGGCATCTATTGGGTTGTTTCAAAAGTTTTATCCGTTTCAATATCATTGTTTTTGTAGCTCCATATCTCAATTAGTATTTATTTTTCTATGTCGTGGTATATACTGATCGATAGAGAATTTTGGTGTTCATTTTTTCCATATTTTGATCCTTTATCTATTTTCAGCTCATCATATGATGTCGTTAAGCGATTTTCGGCCAATTCTTTTCTACGAATTCAAAATAAACCAAAGAGCTGCCGAAACAGCCCGAAAAAATTAACCAATTCTTTGGCAATGATAGTGTTAATGAATACACTGCTGTAAAATTTCGTTTCGGAGATTTTAGCATCCACGATGAACCTCTATATGTTCGACCTTAAGTAATCCAGGATGGGGATTTGAGAACCTGGTGGTAACTGACCCATTACAAACGGTTCGTGGGATGGCAAAAGAACTGGGCGTCAGCTCCCATACGATTTTTGATGATTTAGAACGTATTGGATAGTCAAAAAGCTCTAAAAGTGGGTGCCACCCGATTTGAACATTTGACAGAAATTGTCACGTTTCTGGGTCTGTTCTTCTTTGTTTTTGCGCAACCAAAACGATCCTTTTTGGATCAAAATCGTCACGTGTGATGAAAAGTGGATCTTCTACGACAACAGGATACGTTCAGGTCACCATACTCCTCGGACCTGTCGTCAACCGACTACCATCTTTTCAAGCACTTCGATAACTTTATCACCGGTAGAACCTTCACCAATCAGGACCAGCCTTCATCGACTTCATCGAATCCCGAGCATTCAATTTTTATGCTGACGGAATTAATCGACTTGTGTTAAGTTGGTGAAACTACACTTATTCAAATGTTGAATATTTCGGTTAAAATGGATAAGAATTCACTGAAATATTTCAGTTTAAAGTAGACTCATAAAAATGGGCAAAACTTTCGAAATAACCTAATATCTGTTTAGGAAGATATCACAACTAAAAAATTGCATTTACGTGACACAATTTTTTTTGTTTTGAATAGAATGTATCGAAACTAATACTCAGTGAGATTTTTGAGATGCCAAAACTAATAACCATTGATTGAAAATGAATTAGTACTGAAAAAAAAGCATTATTGTTACAGATGATTAATTTCACAGCAAAGAATCATTAGTTATGGGGCTAAGAAGCCATGCGCTGAAATTTTTTAATATGGTTAGGTTGTTGGTGAATTTTTTTTGTGGTTATACGGGAATGGAAAATATTAGCTGAAGGTTCACATCTTCTTCCTTATCTACATAAAACTGATAAAATGGAAATATATACCATGTGGTTGCTGTATTGGAAGTGTTTCACATGAAACATTATTTGATAAGTGACCTTGATAAATGTTTGTATTAAAATCAATTTAACTGGTTTGTTTTAAGAATAAGTGTATGAGAAAAACCAAAAAGATTTCTAATGTAAGATTAACTACCAGTACGCATGAAGCTTCTCAAGACATTGAGTTTCAATAAAGTAATAGATTTTCCCCTCGTGAAACATGAAACAATGAATTTTCCTACATACGTGAATGACGGGAGTTCTGAATCAGATAAGACGATCAACCTCCTGATATGAACATAATGGTGTTTAGTATTTCATTGTTAAATTAGGGTTATACATTCCAGAAAAGTGAAACATCTACCCAAACTTCCAAACCTCAACCCAATCTATCTTTTGTCACTCACAATTCGGTGATAAGGACCTCCTAATAGGTGACTCGATATTCGCGTTGGGAGGTCTCAGGTGCCTCATAGGCCTAACTGGACCCGATAAATCGAGTTGGCAGGGTCTGACAGCCTTGTTGACGGTAGTGGGTACGGGTGTGATAGAAACAGAGGGAGTGAGGTGAATGTGCTCAACTGGTTCTGGGATCAGAGGTGGAGAATCGGCATATAGGGGTTGATGTGAGGGCGATGCGAGTGATGTGATGTCCATGGCGTTTTCAGTTTCTAGCAAGAAAAAAGGGAAACAATATAATTTTCAATACTGTTAGAATTTAGATGACTGAATTAAATATTTTCTGCGTAAATATTTGTTTTGTACATGAAACGTTTGCAGTGGTTCATGCATAGTGTAAATCAACATTTGTCAAGATGTCTTTCATTATTTTTATTGTTAAAATATTAGCCGGTGAAATATTTACAAACAAATCGCACTAATGTAGTGAAAAGTAACTTTAATAATATAGATAATGTTAGAAAAGCAAACAGGAAGTTTTGACTGATGTAGCTCTATTGTTAAACGATAAACATTCCATGTCAAATTAGAAAAATTGTTAATATCTTGACTGAGTTTTTTTTTGTGCAGCCAAGCAATATAGACGAGTTCAATAAAAATTTCATGATATTCAATCAAGAAATATTTTGGTACGAAATAAAAAAAAACAGATTATTTGTCAAAAGTGACTCTCAGTCATATGATATTGAAAAATTACTATCATATAAAATTCCACATCAGCCACTTTTGCTCATGGAAATAGCTTATAAGTTTACTGAATTGAAATACAAAGTATGGTGGTTCACGAAACATTTTCGATATATAAAATGGAATATTGCAAACTGAATGATGACCTAGGTTTCTAAACTATCCTCATTGTTTTTTATTTTATTTTCAATATATTCATTACACAAATTTGTGCTAAGCTAAACCATGAATGGATTCAACTGTCCTTGAAGGGAATGAATATATAAGAAAAGACAATGATATATCTCGTTATGAAAACGCCATCTATGGGATTAACAAATAACTCACTCGAGGCTTTCCGAAGCAGTTCGTAGCAAAGAAAAAGTTTTGATAAAGACCAGAGAACAAGAATCGTTCTCTGTTCAACCAAATAAGTGTTAAAAAAGTAATTTTTGGCTGGGATTTTAAAACTTGAAATTTCATCAGCATACTAGCTGAAGTTTTGTGAATTATTAATGCCATTTGATATATTAGAATAGTCTTTTGAAAAACAGATTAAAAATAATAACCATGACCTTTGAAGTCCTCCCTATCAACTAATCAGTGATATTCATTTGATTCTTCCATTCTAATAATTATTAGGTACAGGCACTTTCGATTCCATAAATTTACTTCCTTCATTTTGTATGTAAAATTTGCCGAAGAGAATCACAAGCTGTAACTCCACTTGTCAAAGCATGTTTTTTATGTAATGTATCATGAGTCAAATACCGTGGAATACAATTATGAAAGAATTCACAGTAAATCCAACACAAAATGTTGCCAGAGCGCATTTTATCGTAAATCATGAAGAGAAATGCACAGGTCCGATACTTTTGTTGAAAACTTTTCTTCGTTTTATGATTATTTTCAATATTTTTACAACTGCTTCTTTCCAATAAAAAAAATTTAATTATATTTTAAAAAACTGAAGCATTGCATGAAAAATTATGCTAGAGGGAATAAAAAAAACAATCATCCAAAATATTTTGAAAATCACAGGTCATTCAAAAAGTGTCAACACATATGGTTCAACACTTTCAAAAAAAACCCAATGAGCGTATAATTGAACCTGGTAATATCACGAAAGAGAGTTGGAAACTTATAAATGAAAACCAAATTTGTAAAAAAGAATCCCTCTATAAATGTTTTGGATGACTTTGGAGAACCCAATACATATCCTGTAAATAAAGCAAGTAATATCAATATTTTTCATAGAATCCTTCAAGATCCAGCATCAACTATCGGCATAAACTTTGAAAAAATTCCAAACCAAATTTTCCCTAACTCCAATCATTTGTTGGGCAAAATCATACTCAGAAAATAGCAAACAAACTGTCATTGGATCTGCAAAATCTATTGAAATATTGCTGTTGACATTGCCATGGTCATTCTTGGACCTCTTTTTTCTTTACCATCTTAAGCCAACTCATTCTCTGCGAGGATGATACAAATATTGTGATGGTCAATAGTTCAGTTGAATAACTAGTCACAAATGTAAAAATGCATTAAAAAAGTTGGAAATTTTTTGCAACGATGATGCTCTTACTGTGAATATCTCCAAATATTTAGATTTTTTTCAAAAAATATCAAGTTGAATTACGATCTATAGCTGTCAACGGAAAAACAATAGAAAGTGAAGAATGTTTGAAACTTCTAGGTGTAACATTGGGCAGAAAACTTACATGGTAGGACCACATACAGTTTGTGTACCCTAACCTCAGTATAGTTGCATATATCATAAAAAATCTCTGAGATACAATATCATTTGAAGTTCTGAAAATACTATATTTTAGACTGACCAAATAGACTCAACACCTTTAATTTCCTAGGAATCATTAAGCTACTTCGACCAAGAATTTTGATGTCATAAAAAATTTTAAGAATAATGAATAATGCTCATCCTTTATATATTCGATCAACCTCCTGATATGAACATAATGGTGTTTAGACTAGTCCGATAAGTACTGTGCATTAATATCTATACATTGTGTATGATCTTTTGAAATGAATAAGATTATTTATCTATAAAAATTATGGATTTGAGAACTGAAATAAAAAACGTTTATTCCCATTCATAGTTTATGATTACTACTTAAAAAAAATAATAAGTTTGACTTCAGTCTGTTCCTACCTTTCGCCTTGTTTCTATCGGAAGTGGCTGATGCATCTTGCCTGCTGATTCTTTTGCTTCCTTCTCGATTACGCTCGCTTCCCAAAGCTGCAACCCACGACTCTGCCGAGTTTGAACGGGCGCGCACCTTAGTCGCCTCATTCCCTGATTTGTCTGCAAACATTACAAGATTCATGTATTGAAGGCTGATGTGACATTTCGATTGATTGGTCACAGTTTCATCACTGAAATTTCAATCAATTAGTTCTCACATTAGTAACATTATATTTTGAAAAATAATAAGTTATTCGAATCAGCAACTTTGGTCTCTTGCCAATCAATTTCCAGGTTACTTTGACAAAATTAAACAATAAAATCAAGGTTGCCGTCTAATGAAGTTTGACAAATTAATCCACTAGAGGGCCTACCATTGTTTCCATCAATATTCAGTCGAGTGTTCAAACGTCTCTGATATCTATGTCATTTTGTCAACTGAAAAATATCATCCAACGTCTGAGTATATGGGCTATAGAATCTGTGAATTTACCTTATTCAAGTAAACCAACTATCCATATTAAGTGCGCAGAAAATTTTTGTAGATGTTCCTCTCAAATATCTGATTTGTGTAAAATTTTCGTGACCCAAACTTGCTAAGGTGATAAAATTGAAAATCATTGAAGACTCTAGCAAAGAGCTTATTGATGGAATAGTTGCGTGTAACTGGCTACTAAGTTACTTTGATTATTACTGATAAATATAATATGAAACAGAAAGTTTGTTATTCTGCCTCATTTTAATTTCTCTTGGTAGGTACCTACTAGTGTAGTGTCTTAAACATAAATTCGGTCAGTATGCCAAAATGATACTGACATCTTTTACATTTAGGTATTGTGAATATAAACTGTTACGTCAAATGTGCCTATATTCATGGGACTATCGTGTTGTCTAGTCGCACCCGACTAATAAATTCTAAGAACTCGATCGTCACTGCCCTTACCAAATACCCGAGTTTTAAGAACAAGAAGGGTTTTGTACCTGAAGGCAGATAGTTATTTTGTTATCTTAAATCACTATTACTTGAGTTGTCTAGATGGAAACATGTAATATGTTTCATTACATTATTTTCAATATATTGCATTTTTATTCAAAAAGAACATAATTATGGTATGAAATCCATTAACAAAACACTGCAGTTTCAGCCTATTTGATCGAAAAAAAAGTTTTGGTTCAAGCTGGTGAAGTCAATTTAACCAAGAACAGTTCATCGCGTACTACAAGCGAATTTCTCGATCTGCCGTGTAACAATACAGTCTTATCACACTGGTTGAGATGAAGAATAATGAAAGTCCAGGGTAAAATTTTTATATCCGACAAAAATTGAAAAAAATTAAAGTAATACACAGACAGATTGAAAGAAACAATGCAAGACCCTATAGTGAAAAAGGTGACTTTTCATAGAAAAACTGATTTCCTCAGTAAATCCTCTTTTCATTTCGAATGACAACTTTTCATAAAGAAAATAACCATTATATTACACCATCTTGGAATATACAATTAATATTTTGTTTTAAATAATGGCGATAGATGATGTAGTACACTTTTTAAAATACATGCACGTGAGGAGCATGATTAATTAGACTTGAGAATTGAAATTTGAAGTTAACAGTTTTTATTACTATATATGCAAAAAATATTTTGGATATAGTTGATGAATGTATTCAACCTAATAAAAAACTAAATGAAGAAACCAACGTTGTTTCAAAACATAAAATTTTGATAATTTTTGACATCCATGATTGAAAATAAATGATTAGCATTTCTCTAAAAAATACCTGAATACAAAGTGTATTGTCATCTTTTATAAGACCACCATTAATTCCATAAGATGTATAATAAACATTCAATAAATACCACAGCATTGCTGAGATATTAGAATAATAGACAGCTATCATGCATATTACAATGATACTGGAATTGTTCAAAAACAATAAAAGGTATTATGGGTTAATTGAAAATAATATATTAACAGTCAACACCAAATCCAACTATAAAACAAGTTAAAAACAAACACCCACACAATTATTAAAAGTTAAGAACACAAATAATTAAATACAATAAAATAAAAAAAAGTTTACAATTACATCCAACATCCCACTGATTATGAAGTCCTAAAACATGCTGACTTTCTGGTAATCAAACGAGGCCTTATTATATGAGAAATAGAATCGAAACAGTTTTTTGTTTCACTTCTAACCCAAGATATTGGTAATTTCAAGAATAGATTTAAATAACCATTATCAGATTACCATACTCAAATGGAATGAACATCATATGTATTACAAATTTCCACACAAGATAGTTAAAACCAATACTTTTGTTATCTTAACCTATAAACCTATATTATTGAAACAATCTTTGAAATAATATCCTCCAATATAAAAAAAAAGAAATCGAAATGCAGAAAATATTCAAAATTGTTAGTAAAAGTATATGAATATAGGATCTTTTTACGCTTACTATTTGTTAGATCAAAATCTGAAAACAATATTGATTATCGTTTAATCCATATCTATTATCGGGCTATTGCTTGTCACGGTTCAAACAAAATTCACAAGTTTATGAACAGGATGAAACTAATTGGATTTGATGAAAATTTTGAGAAGATTCACAGCAGATTCCAGAGCGTTCCATTCATATTGAGGCATGCTGCAATTCAACATTCATTTTGCAGTGCCTTGAATTGTTTTTTCATGTGCAATGGGTCTAAGTTGAAAAAAGCTTTTAAGTTCATCAATACTTACCAACAGTCATCCAATCCCCTTCAAAATAATTTTTTAAGATGAACATCTAATAGGGTTTCATAAACTAATCCACCAGAGAAGCTACAATCTATTTCTTTAAATATTATGTCAAGTCTTTGAATTTCTCTGAGTGGTATTATCAAAATTATTTTCTACAAGGAATAGTATTACTGTTGTTCAGCTAAACGATATCATCTAGTCCTTGAAAACTTACATGACCTACAAAATTTGCCATGGATATGGCAGACTGAGTCAAGTTGATGAAATTAAGAATTATATTTTTATATGGCAACATGCCGGAGTGAATCATTTGCTGTCAGAATTATTATATCAGGAATGGGCTATTCGGCTATGGTTGTCCTAATTATTACCTGGTAACCAATAGCAATGTGATGGAAATTCAATATTATTCTGCCTCGGTTCTATAAAAAATCTGTTGGTAGGCCTAATCAACAAAAATTCAACTTTTATAGCACACTATCTTATGTCAACTACACATTTTGGAATATGAAACGATATTAATGGATACGGACATCTTCTAGTTGGAAGCTAATTCAATTTGCCGGTACAACAGAACAGAAATTAATTGATTTTGATGAATTGCCATTTGGGACAGACCTTTCTTGGAAAATTATGCTTTTACTTCAATTTCAAAGCTTTTTTCATGACCCTCATTATGATATAACAGAGCCCTGAAGCTTGAATTTTGGCAGACCAGTGATAAACAATCTTGTTCATTTTTGATGACTACTCAAGTCTTTTACCAACAACTAGAAGTATCTTCTTCAACGCTGCAGTTAACTATAAGTTTACAAAATGTATGTGTTTATGATACATTGATACAGAGTTAATCAGTAGAGTTAGTGATGTCAAAAACTTTTCATTAACAGTAAATGCTATTTACAGTAGTTTAATTGACAGTTTTTCTTCTGAACCAAGAAGCTTGATCGATCATCCATTGAGCAATGAAACTGGGTTTAGAAATGTAACAAAAGATGTTTCCTTGCTCACTCCAACACAGCTAACACCCCTCAAGTTACATTCTCTCTAACCTGTGGGACGTCCACCCGTCTGCCATTCTGCGGGTAGAGGGCAGTGTAGGTATTTGCTTCCACTGGAAACGGTTACGTTTCCTGAAAGACCCCTACTGCCTGATAAGATTTCATTGACGCTCACGCTGCTGACATTGCTTCCTATTTAATGTTAAAAATATTATGTACTAGTGAGTCATCATTACCAAATTATAATTTAATGTTTGTATTACATTCGAAACATGTCATAAGATATATTATAGTCAACTCCAAGGCAAGCTTCATAAAAATAGAAACATACTTCAGTTTTGTGAAAATAATTTGGAGAGCGTGCAGGGTTACAATGATCCAAAACGTTTTTATATGTAAATTAATTTGAATTTGTATATTGTGTAGTAGGCAAATTTATATTACCACTAACACTGTTGACAAAATGGTTAAGGTCGAGGTTATGTTATCAGTGTCACTATTTTACGTTTTGTTGGTGCGAGTGGCTGGCTTCTCTGAAGCCAGCAAAATGTCAGGAAGAAATTTGAAAAATCGACGGCCTTCGAACCTGAAAAATAGTAACACGGACTAACACTGTTAGACCTGAACTACAAAATAACAAAAACTCACCTCCTCATCTCGGTAGTTCAACAAGACACAAAACAAGCACTGTTCCCAAATACTAGAACTGCACGTGTTTCGCCAACCAAAATGGCGTCTTCAGAGGATAGAGACCAATGCTTGTTTTGGATTATTCTACACCAGACTAAACAATTATACCTTTCAATTCAACACAGGTGAATGTAACAGTTAGGCATGACTTAATTAGAGCCAATACTTCAACAAACCGACAACTGAGGTAAAGGAAGCTACAGCTACAGGACTGCCATGGCCGGTGGGGGAAATCGTATCTGCGTAAAGTTTGGGTCAGTGTATAACAAAGAAAGTATTAGAAAAAAAAGAATAGAAACTTTTGTTTGCAATTTTACGTTTAGGGTTCGAATAATCTAACAGACTGATAACAGTTTTCTATACATCTACTCCACATCTTGAGGGAAGGGTTTCTCATCGGCCATGACTCAATTCGGCAGCTGTACATCACTCCACAATTTCAAGAAACTATTGAAGGAATTTTTAAATGAGAGTTCTTTTTCTAAGAACATAATAATGTTAACTAGTTATCAACTGTCCAAATCTATTTTCAATAAGAACATTATCTCCACACCAATTATTATTCTTTATTATTATTAATTGTACATCTTGTCACTGATATGCAGTTATTTTATTATGTGTTCATCTGTGTTTATTATGAGCTTGCATTGGAATCGAATATAGTATACTATAGAATTGGATTACTCATAATGTGTTTGAATTTTGATGAAATCAACACAAATGAGCAGTTACGATAAGAATGACTTACTATCAACAACAGAAGAACGAAAAAAAGCGATTGAATGAACATTCAAACTTATGTCTAAAAAATTAAGTAATAAATGCAACATTATGGTTAATTGAGAACTGTAGTAAAAAATGTCATGATTCAAAAAAGTTTCATAACGCTTTTTCGTTTTTACGTGAAAATATATGTTATTGTTAAATCTATTCATTCAAAACTATATATATATATAAACACATCTTCCAATTGATCTTCAATAAAAAAAACATCAAAATATGCAGCCACTAATCATGTTTGAGTTTCTGTAACATTAAATGTTTAAACATTAAGGCCAGATTCGATAAAATAGACATTTATCCAGGTATTCAGTGTGAGTAATTCCAAATTATACCAAGTTTGTTATAAACTATTTACAAAATATATTTTTATATCAAGGTGAAGTAATATTTCGTAATATTACCTAGTGAAATTTAGTTTATTGGAGAACATCCAAGAATTTCATTTGAAGTTACACCAATATACTCATGTACCTTGCTACAATCACTTTTGTTTTCATGTGTAGGCGTTATTTTGAACGTTGTATCTGCTACATGAAATTTACTATAAGCCCACTATGAATTGAGTCTTCATTAAGAAAACATTTTTAAATTGCTTTCGAGAGTAAGTAAATTCTCATAAAAGTTTTATTCATTTTATTGTCATATGTTTTTGTAGCTCCGTATCTCAATTAATATTTATTCAACTGTGTCGTGGTATATACAATGATTAATAGAGAATTTTGAACTCTATGCATCAGGAGTGACCGTCTTGATTAGACCCAAAATATACTGTTTACTAACGAAACCCTTTGTAAACTACCAAATACATACTTATTTGAATTTTAAACGAAACAGCATCGTTCAGTACATAATTATGTACTGAATGTATGTATTTTATTAAGAGGCAAAACTGAATATTATTCTTAAAAAATAATTATTTATATTAGTGTAAGCATTGTGTCTGATCATCATCCGTTGGATTAGCAAAATCAGGTTGTAGTTGGAAATTGCCAACCTTAAAGAATCCAGCACGAATTCAGTTGTTCAACACATTTCTTCAAATTTGGATATTTCTCTCTGGAAAGCAATGCCCAGAAATGTAGACCTGAGGATTACCTTGTTTTTAGGAATATGTCGCAGCGCAGAGTGATAATTTTGTTTTCAATTATCATGTGGTCCTTTTGAAATCTATCTGCAAATTTTGTAACCATTTCATAGATATCACTATGATCAATGGAATAATTAAACAGATAACTGATGAATTCCACCAACTTCTCAATTTTTTTGAAATCACAAAAACGAACTTCCAAGTCTGACACCACTGCCTTACTTTCAGCCGTGTACTTGTCAGAAACGAAATTGTAGGTAGTATGCTTTTCCATATGATCCTTGATATTCATAAATTATTGAAATTCTTTCTTTTCCACGTCAACTAACACAGACGTTGTTTGACTTTGAAATGCTGCAATAGAACTCATCATTTCTGTTACTGTTTTATTATTGCCTTGTAGTTCCAGATTTAATTTGCTCAGTTTTCCACAAAAATCTGTTAAAAATGCCGAATCACACTGCCAGCCCAAATCATGCAATTGTTGATAACCATAGATACCATTGGAAGAAATTTTATTATTTCTTCCAAAAGATCTCGAAATATTTACAAAAACTTACTTCGATTCAACCACCCTATGTCGGTGTGCAATGCTGAATCTGGTTCCTTCTCATCTAATTGCTGTTTAAAGAGCTGCCTTTGGAGATATTTTCCCTTTATGGAATTTACAATCTTGAAAGAAATATATATCACATGTTTTGTATTTGGTCTCTTATCAGCCAGTACTTGTTAATGAATTATGCAGTGGCAGCTAATGAAGTCTGGAAAATCCTCGTCTTTGTGACAAAGAGCAATAGAACCATTGTGAATATCTGTCATTGCAGGAGCACCATCAGTTGTCATTGATACAAGTTTATACAAAGATAGCTTAATCTGGCTAATATATGCTTTGAATTCCGTGAATATATCAAGGTCACTTGTTATTCCCTTTAAAGGAAACCATACTCAGCACTTCTTCGTTCGTCGAGAAATCTTCAGAGACCCTCCGAAAAAAAAATAAGTAATTGTTCAGTATCAGTGATATCTGTTGACTCGTCAAGTGGCTTGCCACGATCGACTGGACTAACAGTCGCAAACGACAGGGCGAATTAAACTATCATCTCAAGCGCCGTTTGTGATTGGTCAGTCTCCAGCAAGGTCCCCAAATGCTCGTTCTGAATAACTGTGGATCGACCACTTCGGGGATCATCTTCGAGGTTAAAATCTCAAAAACACCTTCCGGTTCTGGTGCAGGTGTTTTCAGTCGCAGACCCAAGACAGAGTTATCTACCTGCCTAGGAACTTATGCGACTGTATTTCAAGCGGAAATTTACGCTATTGAATTGTGTGCGGAGAGATTGGGTAAATCCAACCTCACTCATAAGTCAATGAAAATATTCTCGGACAGTCAAGCGGCGTTGGAAGCTCTTGGGTCCTACGGAGCAATGTCTAAATTGGTAGCAAACTGCCAAAAACGACTCTCCTCGATAGGAAGACTAAACAGATTGTTTCTGGTCTGGATTCCTGGCCATACTAGCCTGGAAGGCAATGAAGCAGCTGACTCTCTTGCAAAAGACGGTGCTGCGAGTGGCTTCATTGGACCAGAACCTGTCATTGGCTTCGCTTTGGGCTTTGCCAAACAAACACTGAACATCTGGATGGCAAGAAGATTTGTGGACTTCTGGCAGAATCTTCCAGGATTGGCTCACTCCAAGGCGTTTATTCACCCTTCGAAGCTGGATTCCAAACAGTTGTTGGACTACAGTAGGGATGAACTACGATGTCTAACAGGCCTTCTTACAGGTCACTGTCATTTGAATCATCAAATGCAGAGACTTGGACTGTCAGAAGACAGTGTGTGTCGACTCTGTCTGGAAAATGATGAAACAGCAAAGCATTTACTTTGTGCCTGCCCCACTGGGGACCGAATCAGGTTCTTTGAGTTCGGCAGATCCGTACTCTCACCATCTGACCTGAAAGATCACTCACCATACAAACTAATCGGCTTCGTTAAGAAGCTGGGTTTATTTGGCTGAGTGTAAATAGGTGTGAGCCACAATAAACCCTTGTGGGTTGCGGTGGAGGGTCGAATAGACCCACTCACTTTAGACCTACCTACCTATATACCACGACACAAATGAATAAATATTTATTGAGATATGGAGCTACAAAAACACAAGACATTAAAACGGACAACATTTTTGAAACATCCTGATATAAATGCCAAAAAAGTACTTAAAAGGAGGAGTGTGAACAAATTCACAATACACCAAAAATAAGTGATATATTATCAATTTTCTCACGTTGTAATCTGCATCGATTTATTTTCAATTTTGCTTTGAAATATTTTTTGGGGAAAGTATCATAGATGGCTTGTATGAGTTACAATGAAGATACTCAATTTACTGTTAAAAGAGAAATCAACAAATGCAATAAAAAATTGCATTCCATTAATCTACATGATATCTATCAGCATTCCAATCAAGTAGTCCATAAATGGCATAGAAAGTAATTTTATGATAGTAGATAACTGAAGTTTTTCTATCATAACTGATTAAGCATGAAAATATAATCATTTTGTAAATTAACAGCAAAACCAATGGTGGATAGTTTTCAATAAAAGTAATGTACAATTTGAAATAATGTATCCTCTTCAATACTGAGCTAGACGAAGTAGTAGATGTCAAACTAGTATCCCTTCTAGGTTCAGTAACAGCTCTCGTTTCATACTCATGTGCTCGTTCGGTGACGTTTGGTACTAACTTCTTCGAACTCAATCGAGCCAGTTCACTTTTTGAGAAGTTCATCCGGTTGCCAGGAACGGGATCATCTTCCGGAAGCGGTCGACCGCTTTCAAAATCCTTGGCACGCTTGTAGACCATTTGCAGAGGAGGTGAGAATATCCTGAAGATTGAACATTTGATACAACGTTATTGATTAAAGAAGAAAATATATGTTCTGATGTGTTGTTTTTGGGACGTATCACAGGTAGTATTTTACATTTCATCAGAAATAATGACCTGTCAACTTGACAGAAGCCCTGCGTGAATCTAAATGTCAGAAACAAAAGATACATTCATGAATATTGTTATTTGTCAGCATCCTCATTATTCAGTGTCACTGTTTTTCGAGTTTGAAAGCCGTGGATTTTTGGAATTTCTTCCTGACGTTTCGCTGGCGCGAGTGGCTAGCCTTCTTCAGAGGTTTAACCGTCATGGCTTGCTGTCCGATGACATCGGTCAGTCTGGGGCTTGAACCAGCGGCCAACACGGCAGTCGATTTGAGTGAGTGAACAAAGCACCCACGTCGAACCGACCGGCTACCGTTGGACCAAGAAAAATAATGAAAAAAAAAATTATTTTTGAAAGGTGTTGAAAGTGTTTCCACATCCCGAATTTATGCATTTTTTGCTTCTCTCATATTATTAACAACAAACATTCGTATAGGATTTTGTTAGATGGCAGTTACAGCGAAAAATTTTGAAAATAGTTTTGAGTTTTTCTAATGATCTTTTTTTTTCAGCTAAATTTATAGTGGACGAGTACTGGCACTGGCTAACTTTACGAAAACACAGAAATACACTTATGAAGCACCAAAAAATCGAAAATGAATTTTGAAATAGATGCCATCATCATTTATGAGTATTGTCATTCACTAAATGATATTTCTAGGTACTCTTTCCAGTTTGTCAGGCACATGCCTAACTACTAACTACTCAGGCACATGCCTGAGTAGAAAAAGACGATGATATCCCCACTTATGGAGATTCCTTCGACAGAAGAGTCAATCCACTAATATTAATTTAATGAACAAGAGTCCTAAACTTGAGGATATTTTCCCAGTTTTGAACAAAACTGAACTAGAGAATAACCCTTACCGTTTTTGACACTTGATAATTAGTAAGTTCGTCACTTACCTCCTGTCTTCGTAAGGATCTCCAACAACTGATCCGTTAATGGCCTCCATACTATCATATCCAGTCGGAGCAGTAGCACCTTCATAAATCCTGTCTAGATTTAAGTTTTCTCTTTCTCTAGGAGAGGTGGCTCCTCTCTGCTGCGGAACTGAAAACGCTGCTCCTCCACCTTGCATTTCATGTCCATTCTGATTAGGAGAAAAATCCCTTTCGTTATCGATGTCGTTTTTCACCCTGGCAAAATTTTGGTGATTAGGCTTTGTTGTTCTCGAAGGAGATTCTCGGTCATTCGGAGGCCACATTTGCTTTTCAAGTTTTTTAGGCCGACTGTAGAACTCACGTCGAACCAAAGCCTGTTCGGCACTACTGCTGGGATTGATGGTATTTTTCAAGAACTCCTCCTTTTGTTGAACGCTTTTCCGGAATCTATTCATTATAGCGGAATCATCGGTTTCGTGTCCAGTAAGCGTCGAATTAGAGTCAAAGGACCCGAAACTATCTTTGCTACCGTCTGCTATAGAAGAAGACAAAGAAGAATTCGACTCCCTGCGCCCCACTTCCAAACTCAACCTACACCCCGCGGTATTCGGGTAATTTAATCCTGATATTTCCGGGCCTTCCGGCAAATAATTGTTTTTGTACATAGCTTTCATTGCATGGTCGTCAGAAGTCTCCGGGTTCAAACTAGAATAGTTCGATGATTCGCACCGATCTGACAAAATGTTACCCTCACTAGCTCTTCTCCCCATTTTTTTGTAAAGGGGCACCTGAGGGGCCGCCCGGCATTTGCCACGCTGACCGATATCATGGGGGTGGATTTCAGCATATATCTCCTGTTGATTATGCCGATGTCTGGGTTCACTGTACAGTAAATTGTCTGCGCTACGCTGCCCTCTGTCGAAAGCCGTCGCTTGCAGTCCTACAAAGTCTGTCTGTGGGTATGGTTGTTGTAGAGATCGCCACGAGATGGCATCGACTTGGAATTCTGGTGTAGGGTGAGCTAACCGTCGCGAGATGATCTGCTGAGCGCTTTGTCGGTCGCAGGGTATATCTGAATAGGTTGGTTGGTTAGAAGCTGGGTTGTACGCAGTTTCCGAGAAAAACTGAAAATAAAGTGAAATGAGTATTCATAATTGAAGGATAGAGGGTGAGTTATAGTAAAGATGGGTTCATGCTCATAAGATTTCATGTTTTTAATTTTTTACTACCAAAAATCACAACACATATATTTAAATAATTATATATATGAAACAAAATATATGCTTGTGCTTGACTGTTACCACTGAAATTCAATAATCTTGAAACTGAGTGTATGAATCCACCCTGAGTATTATGAATGTACTTGACCAGTTACTGACCATTATCAACGATAGTAATTGAAAAAAATTCACAATTTTTTTTGTTCTAGATGCGTTTCGCCAACACCGTAGCTTCATTAATTATTACCGATGATGAAGTTACGGTGTTAGCAAAACGNTTTCACAAAGAAATTATATTAAAACCTTTCGTCATAAATATGGGGGCTCCTCAATAATTCTACGGGAAATGGGAGGAATAAAAAAAAGAAATAAATCTCAAAACTACAAAATCATAATTATTTGGTGAGACCCACAGATACTCTTACAATTTCCTTTTCCTACAGTAGCTGGGTAGATATCAAAATATACATTATATATGTATATTCCAGAACCACCTCGTATTTCAAGGTAAGGAAATAACAGGCAATGGCGAAATAGTTCTAATATTTAATGATCAAACCCTCTTATGTGTCACAAAATCATCCTGGAACTAAATAGTTGATACACCAGCTCACTAAACTATACATTTTGGGTTAATTATTCATTGCGAAGAAAAAATGTATTAATGTAAACTAATATTACAATAAACAAATGATAACGAAAATTTTGATGCTCGTTACTACGGTTCCTTAGTCTTAGTCGAAATTATTTCTGAAAAATTTTCGACCCAAATAAATTAAAAAATGTAAAACCTGTAAACCAACCTTCTGCAAAACGTCGTCTTCCTTTGGGACCACCAACAAATGAAGGTATTCTGGACTGTTGACGATAAATTGCACCACTTGAGAATATGTATGATCTTTGACAGGTATTCCGTTAACGGCTATCAATCGATCTCCCCGCTGTAAACCCGCCTGTCTAGCTGGACCCCTTTCTTTAACTTGCTTCACGAAGATGGTTTCCATGGGAGCGAGCAGAGCCCCGACAGCAGCGTGTCTTCCGTCATATTTCTCCTGGAAAAAAACCCGGAATAAAAAATTCATGATAGTCGTTTTGTATCATATGAATGTTAAAAGAATAATATAGATTGTTTATAACCATATAATATTATAATATAACCTTATAACCATATAATATTATAATATGGTTATATGGGTCATCAAACATTTTGGAAATATGAAAAATATCAAGAGAAATTATTTTTTTCGATTTTTCAATTTTGATAATAGTTCCAAATATATGTTTAGATTGAAAGGGTATATTTTTTAACCTTCCACTTCTCTATCTTGATACAAAAAATGTTGGAATCAAATAAGCGAATGAATGTTTTATGTATCGTCATCGATAACATGGGTGGGTTCAACCCATTCCGCGACAAAAAGTTGTAATTATGAACGAATTGAGTGTTTTTACTTATAATGTTATCCGTATTTCCTACTGAAGAGCCAATAAGGCAAGTGTCTTACGGCTTTCATAAAGTATATTACGTAGGAATCCTGTGAATGATATCTGGTTTAATTCCATTACGAATGTTTGGAATACAAACGGAATAGAAAAAAAGTGTTTTTCGTATAATTCAGCGTTCATATAAAAGAATTTGTTTCGAAAGTATAATTTTTTCGTGTGACTCCATGTTTATATGAAAATGGTTGTATAGAGAGGGCTTTTTCTTCCAGTTTGTGTCTGAAAGTTTCTTCTTTGCATGATCTACATATCTTTGTATAGAGTCAATTTGTGAAATTAATTCTTCCTTCCTTTGGAAGATTCCCACATTTTTTGTATCAAGATGGTAGAAGGCCAAAAACTGTTCAAATATATGTTTTTTATTCAACATATACTTATTTATTATTTCAGAATTTGTTGACCAATTAATTAGTTCAAAATCATCCATGTTTTCAACTCGACAAATGGGGATTTTCTAGGTAGCTTTTTCAGTGTGGTGTCTGCTGAATCAGTTTGAGAGATATTACAAATTTTGATGAATTGGCACATGACTCACAACATGTAGCACCGAATGTTACCACATGCATTCAATAAATTAGGTATGGTGTCTGTTTATTTTGACTTCGTAAGAATCTTTGAGCATCTTGGTCTTCTGGTTGTATTTTACTCAAGTCAAACATCTCATAACTATTTGATGACGAATATTTTTGACGTATTACGAAAGTTTTCAATAAAAAATCGAGATTGACAGTTATTAAGAATTATTCAGTAAAAATAATTGAATATACCAATATCAGACAAGATGAAGTTTTATAAAAACAGACGTCTTCATACTTACAGCGATGGAATCGGGAGGATAAACGATAAAATGTCTGAGCGTGAAACCGAAACTGTCGCCATGTCTCCTCAAGTACAGACTTCTAGGGCCCTTGCTTCCTCTGGGCACCGGAACTATCCCGGTTGATTTCTGGAAAGAAAAAGTCAATTAATTTCTATTATGTTGCAAATATGGTGAAAATACAGCTCTGTTGGAGATATAATTTGAATTTCTGTAAGCAGCCTTGAAAAACTTCATCCAGACCTTAGCCTGAGAGAAGTTGGATCATCTACGTATTTCCATATTACACATAAGCCACAAGCTCTAGCTGAATTTTGGGACAATTTTCATCAACAAAATTGGTTGTATAGAAAATTTCGATATCTGCAGTCGTTTTGGAGTTATTTCTTGTACTATTGGAGGTATAGAAAAATTGTGACCGTCTTGCACACTTTGGAGGAACAAAAAAGACTCCTTAGCTTTCTGTAATTGAAAGTGTTTGACAGAAAACACCGGAAAAGTTCCGGAAAAACACTTTTCCTCGGAGCGTGCCCCAAGTCTGTTAATTGAATAGATAGACCCATGGTCACCGCAAAATTGAAAAAATCTGTTGTCTGGGACTATTTTAAATGGAACTATTTTAATTCCTCTCAAAAAAGTGTGCCAAAACAGAAAACGGTTAAAATTGTTCTTTAGCTTCAATAGTACAGGAAACAATGACGTAATACTAAAGTCAAATTTTAGTTATAACTAAAATTGTGGTATCGATATTGTTGCGGGCATTGAAACTTTCCATGGAACCAATTTTGTTCTATGAAAATTATTGGACATTTTTTCATAACTATAATGCTTTTGTATGGAACGAGTAGTAAAAATATTTTTTTTAAATTTAAGTATTGAACATATTTTGATAGGCAATAAGTACATTCATGATGTATTTAGTATAAATGAAATGTTTCAGCAGGAAATATATAGGCGAAGGACTACCTCTTTTTGGATATTCCTCACAAAGTATGCCTATTCTGACTGTAGTTCACAACATGAAGATAATGAATTTCATTACTTCGAATTTCCATTGTCTGATGTTATATAAAACAGGTGATTTCCCCTGTTATATTTCTGGAATCAGTATTAATGGATTTCAGTCTACAATAAATCATTTTTACCGGTAGCGATACCGGTAAAAATATATTTGATAGGTTGCCATATCTCATCATATTTCGTGTTCAGACACAAATCAATATTATTTTCATTGAAATACTAAAGAAAGATAGGTATGTCAATTTTCTTTCACTATTGAATTGAATAGAGTTAGGTTGGATTTTGCGATATTGATATTTTTTATCTCGAGAGCTGTGTAATATTTTCACTTTATTATCCAGGGTTGCCAATCGATAATTTTTTTTCTAAAAAAATCACATAATAACTAAAACTTTTATCGTATTTGATTTTTGCTTTTTCAATTGTCATTTTCAAACTCTGTATTATCATTACTATACATTGAAAAATATGCCTTCTGAAAACTTTTTAGATGTCATTATGCGAATAGTTTGAACTTTGAACCCCTAATTACTTATTAAGACAAGTAATTAGTAATGGATAAGTCCATAATTCTACAATATTTTGATCTTATTTGTTTACATGCTTGGACTATAACATATAAAAAAACATTATAAACTATCAAGCACTTGAGATTTTGAAAAAAATTTGGTCTCCATTGAAATGAATGCAAAATCTCCAACATTAATTGCTAAGAACACTCACATTTACGAGATAATAAATTGATGGATGTAGCCGTTACTACGTGGTAGGAAATCATAATGAAAAAAGAAATGAAAACTTCTATGTTTTTACCACTTTTATTTGTAACTAACGTTACTGCAGTTTAGTCCTATACGGACATTTTCAAACTCATACAATAAACTTGGTTGTATAAGTTTGTAAATGTCCGTATAGGACGAAACTGTTACAAATAAAAGTGATAAAAAACAGAAATTTTCATTTCTCTTTTCATTACGAGATAATTTCACTAAAGTTTCACATTGTTTCCACCAAACGCCGTAAAAGTATATCAATATTTATTTTTTCAATTATTACATAAAAAACAACGATAAACCTTTCACCTATTGAGCCAGAACGATTCATATAACATCATTGTTTACTTTAGAAAAAACGAAACAAGAACAATCCAGTATTCCGAGATATATACCAAATTGACATTTGACATACAACCAGCTGGTAGATACTCGACAAGGATCAAAGTAAATTATGTTAGACCATTCACATACAAAGACCCAGGAACGTACTTTGTAGGTGTTACTGCAAAGTATACATAATTTTGGTTTTTGAATGATATTTACGAGTGAAAATATTCCAATCTATAGGTATAAATTTAATCTACTGCAATTAATACAAATAATTAGAGCTAAGGTTTTAACCCAGAATTTGATGTGATATATGATGAAATACAGACAAAATAAATATTTCATGTACTGTTCGGTAAGTGTAATTGCCGTTAATACTCTAGAGTACAATTGTGTTTACAATTTCCACCTCAATGTCAAATCGGTATAACTCTGAAATTTTTATCTACACACCACCACGAAATACATTTTTTGAGAAATCTTTCATTCATAGAATGATTCCTTGTACAATAAATTACCAACTAAACTTGAAATTACTGATGAATATATTTATTGACTCCATAATTTTTTTAACAAATGACAGTGAAAGCACCAGAAAGAAATTTGATTGCTAGATCTAGACTGAATATTCTCAACATACGGGAAAAAACCTCGACACACAGAATGTTTTTAACTCATTTGAGTTTTCTGCTCTTTCACGTTCACGTTTCCATGAAATCATTTTGCATGAATTATTGAGAAATATTTTTATCTACCATTTTATCTATACAGTTTCACCAACATAAAAAAAACTTTTTTGAAAACAGATGAAAAAACTAATCACAAACGAACACATTTTTTTAATTGAAATGCACTTCACTTGAAAGAAACTACATTACTACAGCATTTAGAATGAACTGTGATGGATGAAAGTGACACGGTTACCTGATAATTTTGATGGATTTAGATAAAAATGTAGATAACAAAGATCAATGAAGTCGGATGTATGTGCAGGAAAACACAATATTTATAGTGATTTTTTTCCACTCGTTTGAGTTTGAGCACGGTTGATGTGGTATTAGTTAAAGAATGGGTGGTTGGAGTTCAGATTATACTACTATGTTCAATAAATAAGGTGAATTTTTGTTTTTCTCCAAACATATTCATTTATTTATTCATCAATTTCTATTTCGTCCCCTTTGAAGTAGCCCCCCTCAGACGTAATTAACTTGTGCCAGCGTTTTTTCCAATACTTGAAGCAGTTCTAATATGCACTTTTTGGTATGTCTTTGAGCTCTCTCAACGATTCGATTTTTATCTCCTCAATCGTCGCAAAATGCCGTCCTTTTATGTGTCTCTTCAAACTTGGGAACAGAAAAAAGTCTCAGGGGGGCAAATCTTGTGAATACGGTGGCCGAAGCAAGCTTACGGTGTTGTTTTTGGCCAAAAAAAATAATGAATAAGCAATGACGAGTGAGCAGGTGCAATATCGTGACGCAAAAGCCATGAATTGTTTTTGACAATACTGGACGTTTTTTTTTGTATTGCTTCTCGAAAGCGGCGCATAACTTCAAGATAATACTCCTTATAACCATGTGGCAATGTGGCAATAACTCCTGATACACTACACCGCAGCAATCGAAGAAAATAGTGAGCAGAACCTTGACATTTCATCGAGCTTGTCGTGCTTTTTTTTGGCTTGGCTCTCCTGGGCTCTTCCGTTGGGACGGCAGATCTTTGATTTCTATGTCATAGCCATATACCCATGATCGTCAACAGTTATGGCCCTTTTAAGCAAATCTGGATTACAGTAGACGTCATTCAACAAATCCTGAGCGATAATCATGAGACGGTCAAGATTTATCAATTTTGGAACGAACTTCGCTGCCACACACTTTATGCCCAAAATTTCGGAAAAATTCTCTAATAGTGATTCGAAGATTCTCCATAACAATTCTCTTCACTTTTTCAACATTTTCATCGGTTGTTGATGTACTAGGGCATCCAAAGTGAACATCGTCATTCATATCTTCTCGACCTTCTGTGAAAAGCTTGTACAACTAGTAAACATTTTTCTGACTCAGAGTACGATCACCGTATGCCACTGTCAACATTTCAAGTGTTTTGAGCATTTGATTCGATTTTTTACGTAAAATTTGATATACATTATTTGATAGGTTTTTTTCGATAGTAGCAAATCACCGAACACGCAAAACACTTTTATGCCTCTCACCAACAAAGTAAACATGCTAAACAGCTGAATCTGTGGGCATATGTTCGGGACGAGTGTACCAACATAAAAAAATAAAGAAATATTTTAATCGAATGTACATAGTCCGCGAAATTAGAACATTTTTCAAATATGGATGTTTTCAGGCAGTCAGTAGCATTATATTCTCGCTGCTTCTCGAGTGGCAGGGAATCATCGTACATTCGCGCGCTCTTAGCTACGTCACCATTGGTTTATGGCTACCAGTGGCGGCCGGCGTTATTTTCTTTTGGCTATAATTTTCAACACTATCTTTTGAAGTTCTATCCGATATAACGATTTTGGTAAAATGTCAAGCAAAAAAGATACAGAGATCGTCGTAGTTGAAGAATATGTTAAATCTGTTGAAATCTGTTTTTTCTTCAAGTAGTTGTCACCCCTTATGAAAGACATTCCACGAAAGTCAAAACTTGTGCGACCTGAGGATCAACGAGATCCCACCTTTTAACGTGCAATTTCTAGCACGTTAAAGAGAGATAAATGAGAAAAATCAATTTTTTCCGCTTTGTATGAAACACATCTCTTACAAAACATGGTGTTGAATGAAAAATCCATCTTATTTCAAATAGCGATTTCAACGAATTTCTTTTGGTGCACTGCAGACCCCATGAAATATGAATGTTGAAGGATTTATGTTTGTAACAATTACTTATTTGGATGCTTTAATTGACACCGAAACAATTGAAGATACATACAAACACAGTTCCGAATACGGAGTATTATGTAAATTATTGGTAAGTGAATGAGGCCCTCCGTGA